GCAAGCACAAATTCATTAGCATTTGGGAGGCTGAGATAACAGGTAATTGGGTGGGTTAATTGAAATTATTTTCATCTTTAGAAAAGCCCCAAACCAACAGCCTTTCTATTCTTTCACCATCCATAACTCTCAGCCCCGATTTGCTCCTCACAGTGATCTTAATACTAATTAAATGAGCTTTTGTCTTCCAACACCAGTAAAGATTAAGTGCCACATAAAGCAGCTGCAGCACAGCCCAATCCAAAATCCAATTTACCCTCCCAGCTGGCATCCACACACTGGTGTGCTTGGAAAGAGGCTTCTTGGCAACTCTGAAGTCACCTGAGGACCTCTCCCTGAGCCCCAACACGTTCTGGGAGCTTGGTCACTAACAGAGCTATTCAGCAATGCTTTCTCCTCTTGGAATCCCCTGCTCTGCCCAGCCAAGTGTGGAAAACACAAAGAGAAAGTCAGGAAATTGTAAATAATCCATCTAATCTCTCCAGGGAGGTGGTGGAGTCACCATCCCTGGGAGGGTTCAGAAACCAAGCAGATGTGGTTTTTCATTGTGAGGTTTATTGGCCATGAGGGTCCAAAGCTGGATTTGATGACCTTGGGGAGCTTTTCCACCCTTGATGATCCAGGGATTTCAATAACAGTATGGTCACAGCACTGGTGAAGGACAAGCAGCAAAGCTCCAGGATTCAGAACCTGCAGAAAAGTGGGACCACCCCAATTTCCGTGCTCAGGGAAGTATCCCCTGTCCCCAAGGCTGCTCAACATGCCCTCCCTGCTTCCTGAAGAGACCCAGATGCAGGAGAGCATTCCACTGAATCAGACACCTCACCCATGGAATTAGAAAGCAGGAGGCTGAAGCACAATCTGCACATCCAGCTGGGAATCCTCCAGAGATCAGCAACCTCTGATCAGCAGGAACTGAGCACGTCAGGCAGAAGAACTGCTGGCACTGGGGTTTGCAACCACCAGGGCTGCAGCATCAACAGGCTCCAGAACCCAAGAAGCCCCCCCAAAAAAATCTCATGTTCTGTCAGGTGGGCAATGAATCATTCCTGGAGATGCTGAGAGAGGAGATCCCACCCTGGGATACCCCAAGACCAGGTCACCAATCTGCAATTTCACAGCATTTCCAAAGGCCTTCTTTGGATTCCCCACAGGACACTGAAAGCATCAGCTTTCTCCCATTTTTGGGGGACTCACGGGTTTTCTGGACTCTCAGCAAACCCTGACTGATTTATATCATTCATAACAAAGGTCTGAATAAATCCTGGCTACATCTCCTGCAGCAAAGCACAGCCAGGTTCTAATTGAAGCACAGATTCAATCAGAAACCATCAGAACCAGGAAACCCAAACAGCCCTGCAGGAGCTGAGGCTGATGAAGATCAGGATGCGTGTGATGACCATTTCCAATGTCACTTTCTGTCTGCCTCCTGTGGGAGAACTGATTTACACACGATCCATTCCCCAGTAATCACAGTTTTATCTTCTGGACAGAGAGTCTGGCAAGGAAAGCCTGGCTGTGAAACCAGGCCCAGCTGAGTGCTAAGACTGAGGGATCTTTGAGTAGCAGGATTTTAAATGTTAATGGGAAAAAAAATCCAGAAGAGGATGTATTACAGACTCCAGGTATTACACAGCATCCCTCCCAGGCTATTTCTTGTAGGGAAATCATTGGATAAACTTGGAGCCTGGAGCCAGTTTGAGACTGGGCCATATTTTAGATGCCATCAGCTCTCTTTGCCTGGATATGTAATTCTATCTAGTGAATTATCCAGGAGAGAAAATTGCCTCCAAACACATTCACCCTCTCTCTGCCTCCAGTCCTGCTGCCACATATTTGGTCAGGGCTGACCCTCCTGGGCTCACAGACAGGCTGGAGCACTCCTGGTGGGCAGGGGAGCTCCTCCTGGGGCTGCCACCATCTCCTGGCACCGAGAGAGTAAACCCAAAAATAAGGAATAAACTGCTTTGCTTCCCTCCCACTCTTTCATCCTAAAACATCTATAAAAAACTAATGTACCTCTGTAGACTATAATTTCCAAATTTCCTCTAATCCCATGCATAATTACATGGAGCACTGCACTGGTATCCCTTCCATACAAATATTGCTATAAAGTGCAGAGTTTTCATTGCATTATACGACAAAAAAATGACTGTGCTCATTTATTCTGGCCCATATTTGGTTACACAACCTAATGCAACGAGACAGCATTTTTCATTAGCTTTTTGTTGTGGACACCACCCATTTATCTTTCTCATAACCCTCCCCCTCCTCCCCAGTGCATGCTAACAGTGTTATTGTAGTCAGCTGTTTAATTATTTAACAGGGCTGGGAGGTTACTGGGTTGCTCAGAGCAGCCCTTTCCTGAGGCAGCTCCTTCCACCCCAACTCCCTGGAGCCCCCAGGCCCTGATTCCCCGTGGCCTCCAGCAGCAGCATCCACAGATCCACATTCCAGGTGCCTTCAGCGCAGTCCAAGTGGACACCACGATATCCAGCCTTGTTGCTGCCACTCAGGTGCCTCCACAACCTCTAACTCCTGGCGGTTCAGCTCACCAGGGAGACCCTCAGGATTGCATGGGGATGATGGGGCATCACCTGCCCTTAGGCTGTCTCCAGAAAGGTTGCAGGAATCCCAGAGCAGAGTGAGAAACCCCTCACACCTCCCAGCTCCTCCCAAGCACTGACTGTTTGCAACCAGCTGAAACGCAGCAGCACACACAGCCCCATGGCCTGTCCACATCTGAGCCCCACCCATGGCTATTTTTAAACAGAAAACAAGCACCAGAACAACCCACTGTGACAATCTGCCCAACAGAAGCAACTCCCACAGCAAACCCTTCCCTTCCACAGCAGCAGAGAAAACCCTGAGGCAGCACTTGGCCAGAGATTGTAGTTCCTGCAGGTTCTCAGCTCTGAAGCAAGGAACACAAGATCTGTTGGCAGATCTGGAGTCACACCTGAGTGTCCAACACCCCTGGGACCCCATTTCCACTCCTGGCTCAAAGGGAACCTGTAAACTGGTTCATACCTGGGCAGGCTGAGGCAAAGCCTGGTCCTGAAGATCCCAGTCCCTCCTCTCACTGAGTGCTGACCTGCACCTCTTCAGGCTCACCCAACCCTTCAGCTCCCCACAGCTCTTCTCCTCCTCCCCAGCTGATCAGTGCTGCCTGTCCTGTCCCTGCCCATCCCCTCTGCCACCAGACACCAAATTCCACCAACCAGCACCATCCCTCCCCAGCTGGCTCTGCCACAGCTCGTCCTCAGCCCCTCCCTCAGCACCAGCAAACTGAACCTCAGCCCCCACTCCTGGAGCACAACGAACCAGATATTTAAATGTCATGTTGGAGGGGTCCAGTTTCCTCAGCGCACTTTGATGGGTGGTTTTTGAAACCCAGGGTGGTGTCACAGTCCCAGGGGACATTCCATCTGCCAAAGCATTCCTGTTTCTCCCAAACACAGCACTTTAGTCAATAAAAGAGATTGTTCTTCCCTCCAAGTCTTTATTGGTAATACACCCACTGGCTGAGAAAGGTTCATCCCAACAGAAATGATCCACTTTTATGATCCTCCAGAGGCCCCAGACTGGCCAAGGAGCTGCCACCACACCCACCTGCAGAGGCTTCCTGAGCTTCCCCTCCTGTCAGTCCCAGCCACCCAGCCCCTCCTTTAACAACTCCAGCAGCTTGCACTTGGTCAAAGTAACTGTTTATTTGTCAAAGGCTTGATTCCTGTCCAGAATAAACTGTCAGTTCCTCCTCTGATGGCTGAGTTTGCTGTCTGGAACAAGGGAGCCAAAAGGAATAAAAAAGGTCTCAGTGTAAATGGGAATAGACCTGATTTCAGCTTCCAGGGATTATGTCATTGGGCAAAGCACAGATATTTTGGTTCAGGATTCCATCAGGTGGGGATGTGCACGTTTGCAGCTGTTCTCTGCCTCTCCATACAATCCAAGTAAGGATCCAGGTGTATCTTACCCACCACCTGGCCAGAAACCACTGCTGATCACAGCAGCACTGCTGATCCAGAACAACCCAAGACACATTTTTCCCAAGTTTTCCCTGAGAGGAGCTGGACTGTCCGTTCCAGAAAACACAGTGCTGCATGAATCCACAACACAGGAATAATCACCTCGTTCCTTAGGATTTGCACAAACTTAACACTGTAATTAAGGCAAAGCCACTTTGTCACAAGCAGTAAAAGACTGGTAAAAGCAACAGATTGTACAAATCTCCACAGTTCCTGAACTTCCCCAGTGCTCTTGCATATTGGTACAAAGAAACACCCTTCTCCAGATCCCTTCCAAACCCTTCCTGGCTGTGTCACAGCCTCTCTGAGCTGCCAGGGCTTCTGACACTCTCCCAACCCCAAGGTGGCTTCCTCCCTTCATCTTCCTGCCCTTCATAGGATCTCAGAATGGTTTGGGGTTGGAAGGGACTTTTGAGACCATCTCATCCCACCCCCTGCCATGGGCAGTGACACCTTCCACCAGCCCAGGTGGCTCCAAGCCCCGTCCAACCTGGCCTTGGACACTTCCAGGGATCCAGGGGCAGCCACAGCTTCTCTGGGCAACCTGTGCCAGGGCCTGCCCACCCTCACAGCTAAGAATTCCTTCCCAATATCCAATTTAAACCCACTGTTAGTGGGAAACCATTTCCCCTTGTCCTGTCCCTCCATGCCTTGTCCCCAGTCCCTCTCCAGCTCTCCTGGAGCCCCTTTAGACCCTGGAAGGGGCTCTCAGGTCTCCCTGGAGCCTTCTGTTCTCCAGGTGAACCCCCCAGCTCTCCCAGCCTGGCTCCAGAGCAGAGGGTCCCCAGTCCTGGGAGCATTTGTTCCCAATATCCCCTCTAACCAGTCTGTCACTTTGAAGCCATTCCCCTTTGCCCTGTCACTTTGAGCTCTTATAAAAAAACCCTCTCCACCTTTCCCAGGGGCTCCTCCACATCCTGGATTATCCCCCTGCTGATGGGCAGGGAGCCACTGCAGGTGTGCAGGATGTACCTGATGGGCAGGGAGGGGTCCCCAGCGTCCCACCAGTCCTTGGGGGGGCTGATGTACATGCACCACAGCTCCCAGCTGTACCCGTGGGCAGAGTTCTCGTAGCGCTGCACCTCGAAGTTGTCCTGCTTGATGTTGTCAATGGAGGGCAGGATGACCCTCTTCCGGTTCTCCTGGATCCGGGAAAGCACCGGCTCGGCCCTGAGAGGGGAAAAGGAGCAAAGGAAGGGATGGTGAGTTCCTCCCAGTTCCTCCCAGAACCTGCAGGTGGGCACTGCAGCTTCCATACAGTTTCCTCCCAATATCCCACCCAACCCTGCCCTCTGGCAGTGGGAAGCCATTCCCCCTCATCCTGTTGTTCCTCCAAAGTCCCTCTCCAGCTTTCTTGGAGGCTCTCTTTGGTAAAAGAAGGTGCTCCTCAGTCTCCTCAGTGCCTTCTCTTCTCCAGGCTGGGTAACTCCAGGTCTCCTGTCCTCCAGCCCTCAGAGCATCTTCGTGGTCCTCATGTGGACCACCAGGTCTGTGGCTTTCTTGTGTTGGATGAAAATACGAAGCCTGGCTTGAAACCTCCCCTTCTGGGGAGCATGAAGGACATGCTTTGTTCAAACCATGCTTGAACTAGCTCAGACCAAATGGAAACCCCATTTCCCTGGCAAGAACAAGGGAAATCCTCTTTCGTCCTGATACACTTCCCAGAGAAAAAGGGAACCCTATGTCAAACTACTGAGACGTCGATGTTTTAAGACGAGACCCAGTGAGTTCGTACAAGTCTCGTCCCCCAACACGAGTCGGTGGCAGACGGGACCCGAGGGAGACGGTTGTGTTCACCACTGGACGTGAGGACCACGGAGGTCGTCACCCATGTTTTGTGAAGAGGGAGTCAAGCCCTCCCTGCAGAAACACCTCCTTTCAATTCCTAGACAAGAGGCTCCAAGGGCTCAGTAAACAGGAGCCTCCTCAGTAGATCAATAAAATCAGATGTGAGGACTTAGTGACCTGGAGAGAGGAATGTTCAGCTGGGAATACAGATATCAGCACAAGAGACAGCTCCTGAGGACACCCTTCAGCTGCACTGCTCTTGCAGAGTCAATAACTGTGCAGAACTCTTTGCTTCTTCCACAAATATGGACCATTTACTCTTTACACTTGGTTAAAGAAAAAAAAAAAATCCCTCTCAGGCTCCTGTCATGATACAGATTCAAACTTAAGCCAGTTGAGCCCAAATGTTTTGAATCTCTCTGAAAAAAAAATCCTTGAGAAACACCTTTTGCTGCCTCTGCACCTCTGCACTTCTTCCCAGTAGCAGAGGAAATAAATCAATCCAAAGCATCTGAGCCTTCCCCACTGGGATCCAGCTTCAAAGAGCATGGAAATGGGAAACACTTTCTCCTTCAATCCCTTGTGATTGGGCTTCCTTAAACCAACAGAAATTACTTAAGGCTAAAGGAATGGGAAATCATCCTGAAAAATGGAACCAGGGAGCAGGGAAAGTGCAAAAAGGGAGGGAAGAGAGAAGGATTAGAGGAAACAAGGGCAAGGGAAGGTTTTCCCAGAATCCCAGAATCACTGAGCTGGGAGGGACCCCCAAGGATCATCCAGTCCAACCCTCAGCCCTGCACAGGCCCAGCCCCAGGAGTCCCCCCCTGTGCCCCAGAGGATCATCCAAACCCTCCTGCAGCTCTGGCAGCCTTGGGGCTGTGCCCACTGCCCTGGGGAGCCTGTTCAGTGCCAACCACCCTCTGGGGGAAGAACCTTTGGCTGAGATCCACCCTGAGCCTGCCCTGACACAGCTCCAGCCATTCCCTGGGGGCTGTCACTGTTT